AAGTATCCTATCTTTCTATATTAGAGATATACTTTATTATTATAACGCTTTTTACGTTCTTCTAGGGAGAGTCTATTATTATACTATTCTTAGAGTTTTCTATTCTTATCTTTAGACTTATCTTATACCTTACTAGTTATAATAGTATTACTATTCTTATTAAACTAGCTACACTACTTTCTTATGTTAGCTATCGTAGGTTAAAATTATTTCTTTTATTAGTTTCTTTTCTACAGCCTATTATTAATGCGTATTACTAACTTAATTAGCGCGTAAAGTGTTATTAGCTTATTATAATATATAAGTCCGTCTTTAATATTTTTCTTTAGACCTACTTCGAACACCGTTCGAAGTGCTGTGTTATTCTAGTTAATTTATACCTATAGCTACTTAAACTCAGCTATATACGCTAATACTAAACTAGTCTACTTTAGGCGAGTTATCGCTTTCTCCGCCTAGTTCTAAGCATCTACTTCCCTAAAAATATGTCCTATCTTTTTCTTAAATTTAGCCTAACTAGTAAATAAGGCACACGTCTCATTCTTCGTTTCTCTATTCTTAATATTTAATAGATAGTTCTCCACGTATAGCTACATCTAGCTTAACGCTCGTTCTTTTATATAGGTGCTAGCTATAAGAATCTTCTTTTAGTTATTAGGTACCTCGTTAAATTTACAGTTGTCAGAAGTAAGGCTTTAGTTGAGGCCCATGCATAAGGCCAAGGAAACAAAAGAAAAGAAAAAAGCCACAAAAAGGCGACACCTCAGGAGATAGCAAAAATGAACACCTTTTTTCATGACCCCATCATTAAAGACCCATCAAATCTGACAATTAAGAGTCTCACTGACATCGAAAAACCCGATTACGCAATATGTCTAATCATGCTACGCGAGATGCGACAGTCATTCTGACCGATAGTAACAACTGGACAGCGTGGTATCGCCAACTTAAAATCAAATGTGAATCACTAAAGATTTGGGCACTCGCAGATCCAGAGGGCTCGCAAGAACCACAACCAAAACCAACGCTTCCGCTCCCTCCCGTACTATCGAATTACGAATCGATCGCGACTTTACCGTCGATTACAAGCACCGCGTCGAGCTCCCGAACCCGTGGTAACACGCAACCTTCACGACGCGACGAACCCATCGTTGTAGACATACCTACGCGAGTCTCCGATCTGACGACCTCCGGACGAGAAGAATATCGAGAAGATCGTGAAGACTACAAGATGCGCATGGAAGCGTACAGATTCCTCGAAAAGGAATACAAGGAGGAACAGGCAAAGTATGAAAAACTGCTTGTTCACATCTTAGGGACTGTGTCGCCCCATCTGCAACTTAGTTGCTGCCACACGGGAAATAGCGTGCGAGAATGGATTAAGTCACTCCAAGAGACTGTCGGAGTGGATCCCGAAGAAGAAAGAATCCGAGCAAGAGAAAGATATCTCGGAGCTCTCAGACCCATGAGAACCCCAAACAACTGGGAACCGTGGTTGATGGAATACGACCAAGCAGCCACTCGGGCGGAAGCCTTAGAAGTGAGCGAGGTACGAAACACCAAGGATGTGATACGAGACTTCCTAGACGCCGTCACAAAAGTGGCCCCAAACTGGGTAGCCACCTTTTCTGGGCCAGGATATGACAAGGCAGCCATGGATAGGAAGAAGGTGATGAAACTCTTCCGAGAACATATGAGCCAATCCAACCCAACCAAGGGCAAGCAGAAGAGCGCTTTCGCTGCAGGAGAGGCATCATTTCTCGCTGGCGGTGAATCCGACCAGGATACACTCAGGGACGCCTCAGATGTATCGCAAAGAGCACCACCCGCCCAGTCACAGGGCAACCTGGGGAAACCCGGGAAGAAAAGAAAACGGGATGGTCAAGAGACCAAATCCAAGCAGTTCCCGAAGAGGAATACCGCGGCAGCGGGAGATGAATGTCCTGCTTGTGGACAGCGCCATAATTTATCAGACTGTTACTACGCATTTCCTGAGAAAGCACCCGATTGGTTCAAACCAAATCGGACAATTGCCAGGTTAGTTGAGCACAGAACAAAATTCGATAACGAGCTACAGGGAGCAATGAACAGCCTTATCCCAACCAGGAGGGAAGCACGCCTCACAAGCTCATCTAGATCGTCAAGCACGCCTCAGATGAAGATGTCACAAACACCAGACGCTCAAGTTGGCTGACTACAAGGGAGGACGATTGCGAAGATCGAAGGAAAATGGGGATTGGCGTCATTTAAAGTCGACAGCCAACACTATCCTCTCCGAAACTCATTCATTCTCGATTCCGGCACTACGATCCACATCTGCAACCAACGCGAGCGACTAGAAGACCTCCGTCTACCACTCCCCGGAGACTGCGTATGGGCAGGAAATACTCAAGTGTGGATCCAGGGATACGGAACCGTACGAATAAGAGCACGAGACCTGACCGGCGAACGCATCATCAGGCTAGACAACGCCGCCCTATGTCCGGATATCCATTGCAACCTAGTATCGTTCAGACTACTTCGACAGCAAGGAATCTGGTGGGACAACAAAGCGGAGCCGACGATGCTTCGCAAGCGCGATAACTCAGTCATAGCGATTTTGGACGAAGTCTGCAACCAATGGGTGATCGAAAGGCAAGACGATCAAGCCGCTTACCAAACGCGCTTTAGCTCGAAGACAAGGAGGCCTACTCAGAAGGCCACGGCACTCTTATGGCACAAACGCCTAGGACACCCAGGACCAGCGGCGATCGAACATCTAGTGCACCACTCTGAGGGGGTGCGAATCAAAGGTGTTACGACGGTCGAATGTGACGCATGCGGAAAATCCAAATCCAGAAGACAAATTCGACGGACGCCACGAATTAGTGGGGAAGGACCAGGAGAACGCATAGCTTTAGACTTCCATAGCTATGAAGAGGGCAGCTCTACAAAGGAAAAGAGCCAGCTACTTATAGTCGACCGCTACTCACGCTATACCTGGGACTTTTACTTCAAGGACAATCGACCGGCGCGTTCGATCATTCGACTACTCGATATTTTCTTCAAGTTCCTTAGCAAACAATTCAACATCGCAGTCAAAGTCATCGAATCAGACAACGAGATCACTACTCGAAAATCCGAGGTGAGCATGTGGTGCAAATCCCTAGGCATAAAACTCGAGCCTTCCGCTCCAGACACGCAAGCTCAAAACGGAGGAGCCGAACGCTCAGGGGGTGTGATAAAAGAGAAGGCACGCGCAATGAGATTAGACGCAAACCTACCATGGGAACTGTGGCCAGAGATCACGCGAGCCGCGGTGTATCTGTACAATCGAACGCCTAACTACTCAAATTGCTGGACCACTCCATACGAAAGATTCTTTACGCGCGTAGCGGCACTGAACGGGATTGTGACCGGACCTCGAAAACCAAATCAAACACACCTCAAGGCATACGGATGTAAGGCATTCGCAATGACCAACGACACACATCGTGGAAAGTCAAGACTTCAGAGACTCGACCCAAAAGCATGGATCGGATACTTGGTAGGCTACCAGTCAACCAATATCTATCGAGTCTGGATCCCATCAATGGGAAAGGTCATAAGTACACGAGATGTGGTGTTTAATGAAGAGGTAGTGTTTAATGGCAAGATTGAAGACCTAATGGACAATCTAATGCACAGCACCCTTGAAGAAATCGCCACATGGGTAAGGACTGTCGAGCTCCCAGCAGCCCAAACAGACCAACCCGAGACCGAGATGTTCTTCGAAGACGACACAGTAGAAGATACACCAGCACCACGCCAATCAAAGCGAAGCTACAAAGGAAAAGAATCGCAGGGAGCGTACCCAACTCCTCCGGACACTCCTCCTCCAGTAGCTTTCCTTACTCGAACTATGCAAGAACACGAGCCAAGGGACCGAGGCACGTCAAAGACCATCCCATGGGCAGCGGCGTTCATGGCGGGCACTCAAGCTGGCATAATCGGACGCCATGAAGGAAAAGGAATCGACAAAGCCCAATTGACGAGAATGCTATCAAAGGGGGTGCGGCCATATCAAAGCCAATTGCCGCCCCCACCAACGGCGTATTTAGATCTAGAAGCCCACCCTCTCCACGAAATGTTCAAGGAAGCAGAGCGGGACCACCTCGAGAGCCACAATCGAATGCGGTCATGGTCAGAAGGTCCCTCTTCACCAGTCAAACGAGCAGGACATCAGATCCTGGACTGTATGTGGGTGTACACCTACAAACTAGATCAAAATCACCGATTGCTTAAATGCAAAGCCCGCTTAGTAGTTCGAGGCGACCAACAGAAGAACATTACTTCACAAGACACCTATGCAGCAACATTGGCAAGTCGCTCATTTCGGACTCTAGCGGCAATCGCAGCTAAGAGCGATCTGGAGCTAAAACAGTACGACGTTACAAATGCGTTCGTACATGCCACTATAGACCGGGAAATCTATATGAGAATGCCAAAAGGCTACCAAAAGCCAGGTACTATACTCAAGGTCAAGAAGGCTCTCTACGGATTGCGGATTTCTCCATTACTGTGGCAGAAAGAGTTCACGACAACGCTCACACACCTCGGCTTTAGCCCAGTCCCGCATGAGCCATGCTGCATGATCAAAAACGGTGTTATTATCTTCTTTTACGTTGACGACATCATACTTGCATACCCAAGGAACAAAACCCTAACTGCATCTAAAATCGTGGGGTCACTGAGAGGGAAATACACCCTAACGGGCGGCGACGACCTACAATGGTTCCTAGGGGTTGAGATTGTGCGAGATCGAAAACAGAGAGTCATTCAGCTTTCCCAGACGGCGTATATCGAAAAAGTCAGCCATCTAGCCGAACAATCCAACGTTCGACATAACACTCCAATGGCCAATCTAGAGCTACTACCAAGCCCTAACCTAGCGACCCCTGCAGAGATTAACCGATACCAACGAAAGATTGGATCGCTACTTTTCGCAGCCGTAACAACAAGACCAGACGTGGCATTTGCAACATCACGATTGGCCCGATTTCTGGTCAACCCTAGTACCGAGCATCAAAAGGCGGCAGACCGAGTAATCCTCTACCTGAACGGCACTAAGACAAGAGCACTTCAATTAGGACACGGAGAGGGACTAGAGGTTGCCAGCGACGCGTCTTTCGCGGACAACACCGCAGATCGAAAAAGCTCACAAGGGTACGTGATTAAGCTCTTCGGAGGACTGGTCGCGTGGCGAGCAAGCAAGCAGGATACAGTCACTACATCAACAACAGAAGCTGAACTGCTGTCGCTGTCGCAAACAGCCAAGGAGGCCATGTTTCTCACCCGATTACTGAAGGAGCTACATGTTTCCTTACCAGAATCGACCATAGTAATCAACTGCGACAATAAACAGACAATACGACTCGTTACAGAGGACATCGCCAAACTACATACCAAACTCCGGCATGTAGACATTCACAACCACTGGCTCCGACAAGAAGTCTCCCGCGGCAAGATTATGGTGAAGCATGTTCCGACAGATTATATGCTCGCCGATGGACTAACAAAGGCCCTGCCAGCGAATAAATGGGAGAACTTTCTTAACCAATTAGGACTTGTTGAGAGATGCCAGGTATCACCTAGGACACTTCAGGTGAATGAAATGGAAAACTGTATTGAAGAAGCTATTAAAGGGGATGAAGATAATACGCCAGCTCCGAAGGGGTTCAAAGCTGAGGGGGTGTGTCAGAAGTAAGGCTTTAGTTGAGGCCCATGCATAAGGCCAAGGAAACAAAAGAAAAGAAAAAAGCCACAAAAAGGCGACACCTCAGGAGATAGCAAAAATGAACACCTTTTTCATGACCCTATCATTAAAGACCCATCAAATCTGACATATAATCTAATAGCCTTTAATAACTTAGCAAAGAAGCTAGCTTATTAGGCTTTATAATTACTAATAGAGCCGGTCTTAAAGAAGCTTTACCTACTACTAAAGCTACGCTACTATATAGGGTATCTCTGCTTACTATATAACGTTATTCTCTATAGTTGTCTATAGCGGAGATAGTGTATAATAGCTACTTAGCTAACTCTATTAGAGCTTATAACTATCTTAGACGTGCTAGCGACGCCTATCGCGAACCTAGTCTTATTAAAGTTATAGATGTTCTAGTCTAAGACGCCGTACGTCTAGCGCGTCTTCTCTACTAGCTTAAACTAAGCTGCGATTGCGATAGGATTCTTAGAGAGAGCGCGCTAGTGTTACAAGTAACAAGAAGGATTCTCTCCTTGACAAATGACGAGATGGCGGAAGGCCTATGGACGTCCACGTCAGAAGGTAATGATCAACGCGGGGCGCTGATCACGTGATTTGGCATCTCGCCAAGACAGGACATCTGGAGATGCCAGACCCTCAGGAGATGCCAGGACATCTGGAGATACCAGTAACATCAGAGATGTTAAGAGCTTAGCTAGATTTTAGGACTGGAAGTAATGAGAATATAAGGATAGATAGATTTCATTATTACTCTCGTTATGGTTAACTTAAATTGTACTTTCTTACTAGTATCTTTACTTAACAAGATTGTTATAAGTTAGTCTATTAAATAGATTAGTCTTATTAAAACC